GCACAATATCACAGCGTTACTCTTGTGAGTCCACCCATGTTCCTAGGCCCTTGTTCTAAGGAGCTAGCCTGGGCCAAATATTTAGAGACCTTGTACTCCATGTGCAACCCAGTTCTAGGCACTGGGGATTCAGTGGTGGCCAAAGCCAGCTTGGTTTCTATAAACCTTATAGAATCCAGAGTGATGAGGAACAATAAACAGGTAAACAAGATAATGCTGTGTAATAAATGCTTTGAGGAAAACACAACATGTTTAGGTCTTCGTGAGAATGAATTATTCTCATGCTGAGATCTGAATGTCAAAAGGGGCCAATCATGTGAGGACTCAAGGAAAGAGGGTCCTGCGGATGCAAAGTCCTTAGTGTATAAATAGGAATAATGAAGTTAAGGCTTGAGAAAAATGACTTGGCACTAATGAGGTCAGAGAAGCCATGGGGGCCAGCCATAGGGCATTTTAGGCCATAGTATAGAGCATTTTAGGCCATAGTATAGAGCTTGGATTCTATTCGAAGGGCAATGGGAAGCCAATAGAAGGTTTTAAGCAGAAGCATGATAGAATTGTTGTATTGGACCGAGCGTAGAAAGTTATCACCAAGACAAAAGTATGCCAGATTGCAGGGTCATTTATTATGCCGGCAACCACAGAGGACTCACATCTCTCCAACCTGTGGCCTCAAAAGGAGGGTGCCAAGACTTTTTATACCTGAAAAACCACCTTGGGAGTGGGGGTGAAGAGCGGGGATGGGGATGAAAAGGTTTCGGACATTCCAAGGGCTAGGGGATTCTGTGATTCACCTCCTGGGCAGAGACAAGGGCGGGGGTCTCCGGACATTCCAAGGGCCAGGGGACTTTTGTCATTCTGTTTGTTACCTCAGTGGTTTACAGAAGTCAAGATATACATTTGTTTACACATCGTCTGGGTGCTGACAGAAGTCACAGATTTTAGCAGTTACTGATAAGAAAAGGTAAGCAGCTTTACATAGTTTTGCAGAACAAACTAGCAGTTCTATTTACAGCGGCCAAGGACAGTAGTTATTGTGAGGAGAATGGGGCAGCCATTTCAACTTATTTAAAAAACAGTTTTGCATTTTATAAAATAGTGTTGCTCAGGTTCTGGCTCTAGGCCAGCACAATATCACAGAATCTGATTTACTTATTATTTTTTATAGACACAGAGGTCTTGCCGTGTTGCCCAGGCTGGTCTCCTGGTCTTAAGCAATCCTCTTGCCCTGGGTGGAATTTTTAATCCACTTCGAATTAAAATATAAACAGGGTGTGGCACTGCAGGCCTATTAGTCCCGGTTACTCCAAAGGCTGAGGCACGAAGATTGCTTGAGCTCTGGAGCATGAGACCAGCCTGGGAAACACGGCGAAACCCCATCTCTACAAAAAGTACAAGAATTAGCCCACTGTGAGCAATCCTATTACTAGGTATACACCCAAAGGAATATAAATCATTCTACTATAAAGACACACACACATGTACTTCATTGCAGTACTATTTATAATAGCAAAGATGTGGAACCAACCCAAATGCCCTTCAATGACTGAGTGGATAAAGAATATGTGGCACGTATACGCCATGATACTATACAGCCATAAAAAAAAGAATGAGATCATGTCCTTTGCAGGGACATCAATGAAGCTGGAAGCCATCATCCTCAGCAAACTCACCCAGGAAGAGAAAACCAAACACTGAATGTTCTCATTCATAAGTGGGAGTTGAACAATGAGAACACATGGACACAGGGAGGGGAACAACACATACCAGGGCTTGTCCAGAGGTGGGGGGAAAGGGGAGGCAGAGCATAAGGACAAATACCTAATGCATTCGGGGCTTAAACCTAGATGACAGGTTGATAGGTGCAGCAAACCACCATGACACATGTATACCTATGTAACAAACCGGCACATTCTGCATATGTATCCCAGAACATAAACTAAACTAGAATAAATAATAAAAGAATTAAGCCAGGCATGATGGCATATGCCTGTAATCCCAGTACTTTGGGAGGCAAAGGTGGGTGGAGCATCTGAAGTCTGCAGTTTGAGACCAGCCTGGCTAGCATGGTGAAAACCCGTCTCTACTAAAAATATAGAAGTTAGCCAGGTGTGGAGGCAGACACCTGTAATCCCAGCTATTTGGGAGGCTGAGGCAGGAGAATCACTTGAACTTGGGAGGCAGAGGTTGCAGTGAGCCAAGATTGCCACATTGCACTCCAGCTGGGCAATAAGAGCCAAACTCCGTCTCAAA